GGGATCCGAACCCTCGGCGGGAGGGCCGCTGCGCTTCCCAAGCGGCGCACTGTAGCAGTGCGCCACCGGGCTGGCCCAAGTCTTGCAATTTCTAAAGATTAGAGTTGATACCTTTCTCAGGTTCAAGAGATCCTATCCTTTCACGTGGTACACAATTTTTGCTTTTCAAACCTTGGCCACATAATCTTTCACCTCGTCCAAGTCTCCATTTTTCAGGGCCCACATGAACTCCTTGTTGCACATCACTGCAGCGGAGCAGGCCGGCTGGCCAGGCAGAAGACGAGGAGGCGGCGGCAGCAGCAAGTGGATACCTCCGGGTGAGAGGGAGACAAGGCCACACCAAGCCGGAGAGGAGAGAAGAAGGTGTGCTAGGCTGCCGGGCGGGCGAGGCAGTTGGCTGCGGCAACCGTTGGGGTGGGAGAAAGAAAAGTTCTTTTGCGGCCACCAGGCCCCGCTGAGCAGGTTCCTCCTGGTCGAGGGGAAGCAGGAGCGCTGAACATAAGTTTTCAATTCCTTTGGGTAAATATTAAGCGTGATTGCTGGATCATATGGTAAGAGTATGTTTAGTTTTATAANCACCAGGATTTGGTGTTGTCAGTATTCTGGATTTTGGCCATTCTAATAGGTGTGTAGTTATATCTCATTGTTGTTTTAATTTGCATTTCTCTAATGACATGATGTGGAGCATCTTTTCATATGCTTATTTGCAACCTGTATATCTTCTTTGGTGAAGTCTGTTAAGGTCTGTGGCCCATCCTTTGATTGGGTTGTTTGTTTTTTTATTGTTGAGTTTCAAGAGTTCTTTTTATATTTTGGATAACAGTCCTTTATCAGATGTGTCTTTTGCAAATATTTTCTCCCAGTGTGTGGCTTCCTTTTTCGTTCTTTTGACAGTGTCTTTTACAGAACAGAAATTGTTAATTTTAAAGTCTAGCTTGGGCTGGCCTGTGGCTCACTCGGGAGAGTGTGGCGCTGGCAACACCAAGGCCATGGGTTTGGATCCCATATAGGGATGGCCAGTTAGCTCACTGGGTGAGCATGGTGCTGACAACACCAAGTCACGGGTTAAGATCCCCTTACTGGTCATCTTTAAAATAAATAAATAAATAAATAAATAAAAATAAAGTCTAGCTTGCCAATTCTTTCTTTCATGGCTTATGTCTTTGCTATTGTATCTAAAGAGTCATGGCCAAACCCAAGGTCATCTAGATTTTCTCCTATATTATGCTCTAGGAGTTTTATAGTTTTGTGTTTTATATATAAGTCTGTGACCCATTTTGAGTTAATTTTTGTAAAGTGTGTGAGGTTTGTTCTAGATTTTTTTTTATGCATGTGGATATCCAGTTATTTCAGCACCATTTGTTGAAAAGACTATCCTTTCTCCATCATATTGTCTCTGCTCCTTTGTCAAAGATTAGTTGACTATACGAGGGTACTTCAAAAAGTTCATGGAGGGGCCGGCCCGTGGCTCACTCGGGAGAGTGCGGTGCTGATAA